ATCTTGTAGTTACATATATGGAGCTTACATTGAAATGGGCGAATGCAAATAAATGGCAAGGAGATTGTCGCTGTTGCAGCAACCGCAATAAATTTAACATGCAAACGCAGACGTGGCGCCAAAATCTGCCAGCTTCGATGTCAGCGCCGCGTCGCGTCGCGCCGCGTTGCATGTTGCAAGCTGCATCTCTGTATGGGTGTGTGTGCGTGTTTGCCACGCGGTATTTGCCACACAAATTGAAAACTTATGCGCGCATTAACAATTTATCAGCTGAATTGCTGGGATTCTCGCCTTTCGTCGTGTGGCAGCTGCAATGCAAATATATATGTAAAAAAGATATATATATAGTAAATAAATAAGGAGCCAGCGCAGCAGTCGACTAGAGAGAAAACAAATAATTGGAAATAAAATAAATAAATATGCAATGCAAATACGTAAACGAATACAAATTTGAGTGCGTCTCAGCTTCCTGAAAGCTCGCATAAATCAAATATATAAAATATACGAAAACAAACTGAAACAAGGCAGAGAGTGAAGCACAGATATCGACTCTTTTAATGTATCAAAAATAGAAATTTCCACTATCAAAGCAGCCAGTGCTGATAAAGGATTTCGAAAAACATTTGCGATAACATAAACAATAACTAAGCCAAGCAAGAATGCCATTCAGTTAGATTATGAGGCCGAAGAACTGAAGTTTGTATACAAATTACATTAGAAGTAAATAGTAAAAAGAAAAGATTTAAGAAGAAGTGGCACAATTTTGCTCACTAAAAACTTACTTTCCGCACTAAAAAATATATATATAAATATATTTAAATCTTTTATATATCAAAGAATCTAAACTTTCATTGTAAATGGCAAGTTCAAGATTAGACTATTTCTAGATAAATGAAGCAGTTTATTTCTGGAAAGCTCTTGTCTTTCTAAACTTGAAAAATGATGAATTTATTCATATAAGAAGTTTATTTGCCCCCTGGCCAACTATCTTGTAGTGGCATTATAGTAAACCGATCTGGCAGGTTAGGTAAAGGTGTTTTGACTGATAGACGATCAGCGTCATATCAATTAGTCTACAATAATCCAGCTCATGTATCTTTATAACACCTATCATATATCTTCGTGCCTTATCGATGTGTGTCTCAAACATGCCATGGCAAGGCATTCGCACCTTTCACAAAAACGTTATTAAATATGGCAAAAACCATTTCCATGGCGTGCTGCTCGCTGCTAGTCGTTATGTTTAACTAGACTAGAACAGAGTTCAATGAACTGGTTTTTGGTTTTTTTCTGTGGTTTAGAGTTGCGGCAGATCTGGCAGAGCAGATGACGATCTATGTGCCACAAACGTGTCATAATAATAACCGAACTCAACGAACCATAAAACGCGCTGGCAGTTCAAGCATATCGATGGGATCTACAAAACTGCGCCCAACCTCCCTGCGACCTGTGCTCTATGCCCACTTCTTGGTCGTAATGTGCTATCGGACTGCTGGCTGTTCTTCTACTTCAACTGCTGCTTGAACATTTCTTTTTGCCGCATTTTTGTTGACTTAAACGTTATCGCCGCCGTGGCCGCTGCACAAATTGTTGGTGTTTGACAAGTAGTCAACAATTTTCTTTATTTTTTGATAACAATTATTGATCGCCCCTTGACACGCAGTCGAACTGAGCGGATGTTTCTGTTTTATTTGTGGCGTAGACGCTATTCATTACAAATTTCATTCACAATTTATGACCCTAGCCAATAGTTGACTTCTTGGCCCCCGCTCTGCGATCTATCGCAGAGTGCACTCTGCAGAGAGAGAGGGAGGGAGGGAGAGTTTGTTTGCACACGAATTGATTTTCTATCAAGGCCATAAATTTAGGTAGAAAAAAGTGTTATTATTTTGAAAATATTTATTATATACTTTCTATTCACAGCCAACGAAATGTGTCTGGCTTTCATGCTACAAATTGATTTCGAGCACATCACGAAAATATATTTCAGTGAGACAAACATAAGTCAGGAGAAGTTAGCAAGACTTTGCACTTTGCACTTAGTCAGCATTTTCTTTAATTAGAACTAAAAGTTTTGCCTCGTTTGCAGCTCCAATTTCCAACGGCTGACAAATTCATGAATTTCAACAAGATTTACAACAAATTTTGCAAATTGAAAACGCATATAACATATGTGTGTGAGCGAGAGGGCAAGTGGTGCTGTGGGACTGCCAAATTATGTCAAGGTATGTTAAGCCACGGCCCGCTTGCCCCACGCCCCACGCCTCACGCCCCCTCCCCCTCTCTGAGTCGAGCATTTTGCGGGCTAAGCGTTTTCTTGGCTCACAGCCAAGTCTGATAATGCCAGAGAAAATCAGTATAGGCTGTAGGCAGCAGCACAATGGCACTGCACCACCACCACGGCACCACCAGCTACAACAGTTTCTCTTCCGCCATGCCTGCAGACAATTACAGTAAACAAATTCGCACACGTTTGCTAGCTTTTGCCTGCTGCTGCGGTGACAGGCTGCAAAACAAGAGACGAAAATAGACAGCAACAGCAGCAGCAGCAACAGCAGCAGCAGCAACAACAGCAGCAGTTATAACTGTAAGAAAAAAATGCATAAAAGCTTTTCAGTTTGTATGTGTGAGGGGCGTTGATGGCACGCCCACATGCCTTGCGGTCATGGCCATGCCCAGGCAAGCAGCTCGCATGTATTTTTGGCACAGGCACAGTTTTTGGCCATGCATGAGATTTGCATTTTTTATGCCACGCCCCAACAGTGGCTCAAATACGTATGCCCTAGCATACTTTTCTGGGGCATGCAGCTCCAAGAGTGTGTGTGTGTGTGGGTCTGTCTGACAATTCAATTGAATTTGTGCTGCTGGCTCTTGAGGAAGCTGCTGCCGTTTCAGGTTTAAGTTACAGCCAGTCGCAGTCGCAGAGGCGACTGCCAACTAGACTGACTGACGCCATGGCCTGACAGGGCTTCAGCTGGCGATTTGCCATGTGGTCGAGTCCTTGCTGCGCGCTGATTTATGAGCTGCAACTGAGGCCACGCATCAACATAGCTTTTCACGTTGAATACATTTTCAATCAAATGATTCGCTTTATGACTCAGCCAATGTTTGTTTCTCTAGTTTCTCTGGTATTTAAAAATATTTGCTAGCTTGCCTCTCAGTCTTCACGATCTCTCACTCACTCTCTCTCTCGCTCTCTCTGTCTTTCTTTGGCCTTGTTTTCTATTTACTTGCAACACTTGTGTCATTTGCAATTTTCCATTTCATTTAGCTTGTTGAATTCGCATTGCCTGACATGGAGAATATGTGTCACGGCGACGCGACGCTCTGTCGGCCGTGTTTCTCCAGTTGTGCCACATGCAACACAGACACAGACACAGTAGCTGCTTAAATTTAGCTGCTGATGTATGATCCGCGTCTGTTTACAGTTTTGTCAAACTCATTTCGCTATATTTTGTTTTCTCATTTGCCAACATCTGGCTTGACTTATACTATATGCTAATATGCCAAATGTAGGTGCAGCGCCGAGCACATAAACATCATGTAAAAGCCATTAATTTAAATTATAAACTATAAAAGACAAAATAGGCAGGCGCGCACAGATGGAAAGAGACATATAGAGAGATAGAGAGAGAGGGAGAGGGAGAGGGAGGGAGACAGAGCTGTGTGCCTATGCCTTATATGTCGATTGCTTAAATCGTTTGCCGCTTTTTGAATTGTTGTTGTTGAGGTTGTTGCTGCTGCTGCTGCTGCTGCTGCTGCTGTCATTGTCATTGCAGTTGTCATGAAATGCGTGTCATCACGCCCACGTCACATATCATGCACTGCCCCTCCCTCTCGCCAGCTTCCCTTGACAGCCTCTTGGCGCAACGGCTGCACTTTGCTATCTACCCCCGGCTCAATTGTCACATGTGTGCTTCGGTAGCTGCCAACAGCGGCAGCGGCTATTAACACATGCATGCACACACACACACACACACACAGACAGACATGCATTCACACTTGTGCATAGGCTTTAAATTTATGTGAATTATTATTGTCAAGCTACAAATGGGGCAATTAGCTAAGGACGATCAAAAATAGCTGGCAGACAACCTGTTGATAGATGAGTCCATATTATTTTTGCTTAAAATGTAACTAAGACTTAGCTTTAGATAAACTTAGGCTGTCTCTAAAGTATGAAATCTTAGTTGTAGTCCAAGTCAGCTTGGACAAGGCTAACAGAGATTCAGCTCTAGCAACAAGCTCTACAATATATTCATAAACTTTATAAATATTTGTATAATTTTGATATCAATATATAACAAACAAAACGGAGCTTTAACAATTTCCATACGTTGGCTAAAAGGCGAAGAGCTTTTTCATATAATCTATATATAAACACATAAAATTATCACGTCTTCAAATCTATATTATTATAATTTAGTCTAATGAATGCATAAAATGTAATTTATAGCACACGCTGTAAGCATAGAATTCTCAACTGGTTTAGACTGCGTCAGAGTAGCAGAAGCAATCTGGAATTGTGAGTCAATGCCAAAGTCAGAGCCGGAAGGTTCTTGGAGTCGATCCACAGCTAAGCTTATGCTTTTGATGACCTCGCGACTGTTGGCTGAATAAAAGTCGAATTTATAACAATAAGAGCATTGTCTTTGGGCTTATAGAGCTAACAGCAAATTGTCAATTACGAGCAATTTCATAGTTATAAAACGCGCCCCGTTTTCGATAAAAAGCATTAAAAATAATTTGAGCGAAACGAAGGAAAATATATACGAATACGAATTTGGCGCCAAGCAAGGTCTTTAAGCCATAAACAATTAAGTAAAACACACGCCCACACACAAAATGATAATTCGAAGATGATTGAAACAGACGAAGATGACGAAAGAGTTGAAGCAAAGCTTCATATTTTGCAGTTCTTAATTTTAAGATCATATATGAAAAATGTAATAGAAAATGCAATTTTAATTTATATTTTTTTTCTTGTTCTGTTATTGCAGGCGCCACTTGTGGTGGTAGCTGCTGCAGCAATGCCACCGAACTGGAGCTGCGCCACAAGGCAGCTGGCAAATTTGAGCAATTGCTGCATCATCATACAAGCAGCCTGCGTGGCATACTGGAGACCACGGCCAGCCAATTTCAGAGTGAGTACAGCACATACATATATACATATATATAAGTGAATCTATGAATCTATGAATCGCATTCGAAATGAGTGCAGCAAATGGCAAATGGAAAGCGACAAGGCGAAAAACTGGGCAACTGGCAAATGGCAAATGGCAAACGCTTTTATGCAAATCAGTCAGTCAGGCAGGCAGCCAGTCGAGTCGACTCGCTTAGTCAGAGTCAGAAAAGTTTAAAGTAACAGATAAAAAACAAATATATATATACTTTCGTGAGCAATAAATTATTTATAATATGCAAATGCAGAAGCGTGGGTAGCTGAAAAATAAAAATGATGATGATAACTTTTGAGTTTAACAAAAATTAAACTTGAAACGCGAAATTGATTTGTAATTTGCATTTGTATGCAGATCAAAGCGACTCACGGCTATATACCTGTATATATATATGTGCATCATTATATGTGTATGTGCGGCAAAAACATATCCATAACAAAGTCTTTGGCTGTTCCATATCCGCTGCGCGCTGTTTGGAATGCAACAAAGTGTCTGCATCTAATTAAAAAGGCATTAAATATTGATGTTGTTTGTATTGTTGTTGGTGGTGGTGCCGCTGTTGTTGTCATTGTTGTTGCCTTTGTAGCTCTTTGGGGCTTTTGGACAATTTGCAAACTTTGTTTGGGTCACGTTTTAGGACAACAGCAGCAGCAGCAGGAGAACTTTTCAATGCCTGCAAATTGTTGTCGTACATGTTGTAAATCTCGCTTTAAAGGCGTGCCCTCGCCAGCTCAATATTTGTATATAAATATATGTCTGTTTATATATATATATATCTGTGTGTATATATAAATATATATATATTTTTGTATAAATATATTGTGCAGTTCTTGGAAATGGGCGCGCATTTGAAATTAAAAAGTTTTGTTTGCTGTGGCTGCACCCGACTTCTGCTTTACAAATAAATAAATTTATATACATGCAAATATATATATATATATATAAATTTAGCCATTGTTTGCATTTCAAGCTTAGCGCTATTCATTTAAATAAATTATTTTTGACTCTAAATACTAAAGTATGAAGTGTTGAGGAGGAATATTGGTTTTGTGCACTGGAAATTTGAATTTGGATTTGCCCTCGTGTGTAGTTCTCTGACTGATAAAGAAAGATATGATATCATAAATGATGTAATTTGAGACTTCAGACTTAAAATATTAAATATATTTTATATAGCTGCAGCCGAATGTTAAGCTTTTTTTATAGATGGACAAAAATTAAATAAATGTATACAACACTGTCTTTAGCACTGATATAAATATCGATAATAATAGTTTTATCTTCTAGATATATATATATTTATATATTCATACTAAGGATATCTCTCACTTAGTTTTAGGTCTAACTTTTAAATTGTTTTGTAATTGGATCAGTGTTCAACTGCTCTAGATCTCTAGATCTACATCAGATACAAATAAAGGTTTGCAGTTGCCCAATCATAAATTTTTGATATCAGTTTGACCTCTGCTTATTAGCGAGTATCCTGCAGTCAGTTGGACTGGATGGCAAAGTTCTCACTTGTGCTTTTGTCTGTTTAAAGTGGCTTTCATTAGGACATACTGACTTATATTACATACATACATAACATAAATATATATAATATGTGCTCCCAGCCAGATGCCCTTAAAGTTCTGCTGCTCTTCAGTTCAAGCTGAATGCATTTAAAATGCGCAATGCATGCGCTGCCCTTGCCCGATGTCACATTAGAGAGCCGCGAGTCTCCCACGTTCAATTCAAATAAATTAATATGCAATCAGCGAATTCATTTAGCATTGCAATGAAATTACATTTCAAATGTCAATATATTTAATTTTTTTTAAATGTGCAATAAAAAAGAAATAAATAAATATTTAAATGCAAATAAAAGCGAGCGTGTGCAGTTTTTTACATTGCTCATTTAATAACTCGGGGCAAATGATGTTTCACACACTCAGTCAGAATGCCTTCTCTATGTATGATTTATGCGTGTCAAACAATTTGTTTGAGCTTTTGAGCCTTATTCGGTTTGTTTTAGCTTTTGGTTATTTGCCAAGTCGTAAAGGCTGCTGCTGTTGCTGCTGTTGCTGCTTTTATGTCTTCACACGCTGCTCATAAAAATTGATTTAGCTCGTGCCAGTTGGTGCGACCGTGCGTATGCGTAATATCTGGGCGCTCAACACTCGGCAAATGCCGCAACTATAAAGTTTTATGCATATTCTCATACAAGTTTTTTGCTTTTGTTTATTTGGTTTATTGTCGCCTTGCAGCGCTTACGCATTTAATATATATTTTATTGCTGCCAACATGAATGCATAACTCGAGCAACAGCAGCAACAACAATTGCAGCTTGCAGCTTTTCCTGCCGTTTTTCCTGTTACGTTTTCCTCTCGCCCTGTATCACTTCAGTTGCGTCTTTCCGTTTCCTCTCGGATTGTTGTGTTGTTTTGTCTTGTTGCTTGGGCTTGCATTGTTGCTGCTGCTCATGCTCGCTCCGCTGCTCTGCTGTTCTGCTGCTCTGTGCGTATCCATGTTTCGTATTATATTTTTAAGCAAGTATTTGCGTGTGTAAACACGTTTCGCAGCTTACGAATTATGCCACGCCTCGTCGCCCTCTTAGAGCCAACGCCCCATTCTGCAACGTCTGCGTTCGCGATATGTCTCCATTGCATTTCGCACGTCGCACTTTTCCATCTTCTGCCGTCTGCTATGTTCTTCAGATCCCTTCTGTTTCTTGCCTGCCTCCGCCAATCTCCTCTTCTTCTCCTTGGCCTGCTCTTGCCACCTTCGCTATTTTCAGCCCCTTTTGTCTACTAGAGCCTTCTGCTGCCGCCACATGCCCCTGTCTCCTCCTTCGTTCTCTACTCCCTCCCTTATCTCTGCCTGCGTGCGCCTGCATAAAAGTTCCAAATGCTGACTTACTGATCAGCCCGCCTGCCTGCCACAGACAAAAACTTTTGGCACTTTGTGGCAGCAAAATAAAATTCGTTTTCTTTTTATAAATTCTTGTATTTTTACTGTGCAACAGCAACAACAGCAAGCAGAGCTGTGCGTGCACTTTCATAAGTCGCAACTTTCGTGGCACATTCCACTTGGCACTCGCCTCCGTCCCTCCAACCATGCACCCGCGCCCACTCTCCGACTCTAGCTGTTTGGCTGCCACAGCAAAATGGTTTTTTGGCCGTCAACGTTTGTTAACTGCTTTTGTTGGCTCTGTCGCAAAGTGAAGCTGTTAGCCAAAGCCCAAGCTTGACTCCAAATGTGTTATCATTATTTTTTAGTGCAATTGCAACAATGTGGCACAAACTCAAGCTAAACACTTAAGCCCCACCAAATCTGACTTATGATATATAAATAAAATATCCCCGGCACAACTTGTTTACCATAAAAGAAACAAACGCTGCTTAATTTGGATATAAATTAGACTCAAAGTGTCGACCTTGACAGTGCAGCCATATTTACTGAATGAATCCCTGCTCGGTTTGGCATTAAACAATCATAAATAACAAAAACCAGCTCATAATCATTTATTTATTTATTAAAACAAAGCGCAGTATTGATGGAGCCATTTGCGGCTAGTCAAGCAGCAAGCGATAGCAACAAATGTATCTAGATATATATATACATATATTATAGTATATATATATTCAATTAAGAACAAACGCGCAACAGGTTTCATTAATTACCAAAGCCAGCTGCGGCGCCATTTTGTCTGCGCTGCCCTCAGTCTGCCTGCCTGTCGCATTCCCCCACTTGCCTCTTGCTGCTGCCATCAAATAATATTAATAATCATTATAATTAGTTGCTAACCAATGCAGAACGCTTCAAGCGCTCACTTTTAATTGGCGGCACAAGCGCTGAAGCTCAGAATAGGCAAAAGTCTAGACGAAGCCGAAACCTGAACACACTTTAGCTGATAACCTATAGGGTATAATAGGGCAGATTGATTGGGAGCTGCAGGTTATAATAAGATATAGAGTTCAGATCAGGCAGATGCAAGCTTAACAATATAGAGAGACATGGCTTTAAAGCCTCTTCTGTTGCTGAAGCAGCTACAAATAAGTCTTGCCTCGCCAGTAAAAATTCTAACATCTAAGGGTAACTCTTACTCTGCGAGCTATGAAACCTTGAAGCACACAAAGAGCGAACAGAGCTTAGAAGTCTGGAACTTGAGAGACAGGCAGCCAGCTGGAAGAGCTACAGAAGACAATTAATGCGTATGCTCTGAAGCAGCTCAATATGACAAATATGCAAGTGTATATACACACAGAAACAGATATATATATATATAGATATATATATCTGTATATCTATGTGCAGTTAGCCAAGAGCCCAGAGTCAAGGAGATGTCGCTCTGCAAAAGTCATCCAATTATTTTGACATTGTGCAAGGCTGCATGCCAAGGCAGGCAACACGTAGCCCACAGCTGTTGGAGTGGCTAGAGTCAAGTTGTTGTCGTCGCTGGCATCTGGAATGGGGCGTGGCAAAGCATCGGCACGCCTGCCCCACAGATAGCTAGTTACAAGCGAAGCACTTAAGCACTGTGCACAGTGTGGCGCATATCGTTGCGAACGGGGTGGAGTGAAATAGCAGATGCCAGCAATTATCATAGATAGCAGATAGCAACGGCATTGAGCATTGCGCATTGAGCATAGAGCGCATGCTACAATTATGTCTGCTCCACCTTAAAGTCACCCAATCAAAAGCCAAAGAGATAGAAAACACCTGGACAAGCGGCAATTCCCAGGGCCCACTGTGCCAGGCTCTGGCACAAGCAGAAAGAAAACTCGCCGCACTGGAGACTCGGCGAGACTCGAGCATAAAGCGCTAGCAGCTAGCAGCACAGCAGAGAGAGAGAAATACATGCATATAAAATGCAAATAAAAAAGCAGATACTAAAATTGTAATATCCGCACAGGAACGCAGTCAGCGCTACGAGCCGGGCGGCGAATATAAAATATAAAACAACAGCAAAAGAGGAAAAAAGAAGCTAAAAACTACAAAATATAAAAAAGAACGAAACCTTTGGCCTATCCCTGCCATACGTGTGCACGTGTGTGTGTTTTTGCCCTGGCGTGGGAAACAACAAAGAATTGTGAAACGCGGTCGCCTCTGCCGGCAGTTGGCGTTCGTTTTGGGGCTGGGCCCCGAGGTATGGAACCGGTCCGTTGTGCTGCCCTGGACTTGGACCTGAACCTGGAACTGGAACTGGAACTGGAACTGGGCAACGTCTGCCTGCTCACCAAGCAAATCCCGCTTCAGCGCCAGCGCCGCTAGCTAATGAAGCAATGAAGCCTAGCGCTGATATTTGTTCTAGGCATACGAGCAGCACTTGAGTGGACCACCGGGGCTGAGTCACTCTCTCGCTCTCTCTCTCTCTCTCACTCACTCACTCTCTCTTACGCTCAAATGACATTGGCTACACTTGGCTGGAGCTCTGTCTAATTCAATCAGTATGTCCGCTTTAGACATTAGAGTTGTCAAAGCTTGATGTGTGACTGTGAAAAACCTTCGACTAATGAAATTTTCATGTCACATTGGCCAAAAGCATTCACCAAGTCCCACACAATAATCAGGTGCCCTATTAATGCCCCAAAAAACATGGAGACAGCCTGCGGAAGCGGGGGAGACAGAGAGGGAGGTAAGCGGAAGAGACCCAAATTGCAATTAGTTGTGGAACAACAAAGTGTGTGACTTGCTGTAGTTTAGAATATGCCCTTAGGCAAAGATATATATATAACCCGATACATATATATATATATATATACATATATAGATGTACGTACTCAGCCTGTGGCAGCGTCTGCTGCGTGTGTGTGGGTGAAAACCTCAACTTAATTGCTCGCATTAGGCCAACAAAGCAGCTGCAATAATATTAAGTATACGCCGCGTTCACTCAGTCAAAGTTAACTTGTTGCTAAGCATTTTATCACAATTTTAATAGCAGAAAATTAACATTTCAATTAAAATTTTCAATGAGCGAAGCCTCGCACAAAAGCAGAGTGGACTTTGGCTCTGCTAGGTAAATGACTCATGTAGAAACTGGTTGTTAGAGTTCTCTAGTTACATATTGAGTTGCATATGAAATTGTTGAGTTAGTAAACTAATAAAATATTTGGATCAATTAAGTTTTTTTTTTTCAATAATAATAGCTTCAGCTATAATAAAAGAGTATTAAATATTAAATATGAAGCTTAAAAACTCATTTTCACTTGAGAGCTTCAGTTTATTAAATTTAAGCACAAAAAATTATTCAATTTTCTTTTGTGAAAATGTAGAATTCGTTTTGATTTTGTTAACTTGTTTGTAAGAGAGAGTGAGAGAGTAGAAGGCGTGGTCCATGCCATTGACAACATTTCAATTTCTACAAAATTAATAGAATTTAGTCGAAGAAAATGTATCATTTGTTATATGTAACAATCTATAGCTGCGCTTTCTTTCCACAAAATCAAACTAGAGACAATGTTTGCACGCAGTTCCGGGTATCTACGAGTCGTGCACTTCTAACTAAAGCAGCTTTTCTTCTTTAAACTATCTGCAGCTGATAGCTTGTGCAAGCAAATTGGACTTAAAACTTGCCTAATGCTCAGCAGCTGCACAACTAGCAGCCACATGTTAACAGACCCATATATATATATATATATATATTCACACATATATATATGTGGCTTATATGCACTCTAGTGAACAATTTCGCCGCTCAATTAGCAATTAATGTGCGAATATCTGCGGACATCAACGCGTTTGCTGGCTGGTGTGTTAATTATTAAATGCGAGGAGAATGGGTATCCGCCGGTGGGAAAGGCTTCGTTTGGCCACAATTCGAAGTGGATTAGCGGAAAGGATAATGGATGACGGGGGCTGCGGCGGAGGGCGGGCAATGCTATTTCCTACTGTTAAGTGCATTCTCGCTGACTGTTGGCACACGAATTGCAGGCACTGTTCATAATTAATTGATCAATAACAATGTTATTGTTATATGACAATTGATTAGCTCGCTCACTCTCTGCTGCTACATATCCTGCACAATTATCAGCGGCAATTGGCAAATGATTAGCTGGCCAAATACTCATCTGGTTACTGTTGTAGTTGTTGCTGTTGTTATGGCAGCTGTTGGCTATGTTTATTTGCAGCGTAACCAACAAAATCGCAAGAAAGCTAATTAAAAAGGGGTAAACTCTGACGCATCAAAGGCCATTAGCCGATAAAGAGGCAGACAGTTGGACAGCGCGACAGACGGACAAGCACAGTCAGCCAAGTCAGGCCAAGCCCAAAAATGAACCCAAGGCTGAGAACGGAAATGCTTTGCACAGCAACAACAACAACAGCAGCAAGAGCAAGAGCAATTCGCGTGTTGCGATGAGTATTAAAAAAAAAAACAACTAAGAGTGCTTAGGCTGGCCGCGCTCGACTGAAAAATACCCTGCGCTGAGTTGCTGTTTATATGAATAGTTGCACTTCTAGATGTGCGTTCCTTATGAAACATGAAAGTGTGTATTTAAAGTAGCGCACGTCTCTTCTATATTAATTTGGGCAGAGGTATATAAAATAGTGAAAATGAACTCATCACAGATACAAAATTTGGCGCTTCTAGCTTTGAAAATAAAATGCCAAGTTAGAATATCGATTTTTATCGATAAGGAAATGAGATGAGATATTGAATAGCAAGTAGGTATATATAGACATACATATATATCTATATCTATATATGTTAAGAGTTTATAGCTTCTATAGTAAGCAAGAGCTACGCATTCAGGCAGAAATAGAGATGAACAGAACTAGAGCTACTCGCCTATTGATAATCTATAAACGCCTTACGCGATCTGCCACGCCTGCTGCTGCGTGTTACATGCTCTTTCATATTATATATTCAAATTTATATATACCCCTTTTGGTAATTTTAAATACATATAGGGTATCATCCAACAAGACACACTTTGCCCAGGCAGAAATGTGTTTCGCCTTTGTGGTTTTTATGTTATTGTTGTTGTTGTTGTTGTTGCTTATGTTGGCATTGGCCAATTAACAAAGAGATTGACACTTTTATTTAAAAACCACGTCGCTGGCCATAGAAAACAACAGATTGCAATTTAGAATTTGCCACGCTTTGACAGCAGCAGCGTTGAAGAAGGCGAACAATCGGCAGATGAACATAAAGGCAGATACACGATATCTTTTATATAAGATTCAAATATATATAAATATATATATATACATGTATTCAGATTTGTAAGCATTGTATAAGCTGCGATAGCAACGTGCCACAAGCTCGTGTTGCAAGTGTAGCTCTGTGTGTGTCAGGTGTATCGCTTGCCAATCAATAATATATAATGCCTCACAATCTCCACTCAGACAGTTCGCGCTGACACTTTGACAGATTATTTTGAGCAATGCTGTGATTAGCATACGAAAGCGTGGCACAACGCAGAGAGATTTGACTGTTGATTGGCTCAACGATTCGATACGATTGATTGATCGCAAAATTGGGCATCGACTGACGATAAATGAAACAAAATAAGTTCAAATTAAGCATTTGTCAAGCCAGATAAGAAGTAGACAGATTATTTGTGAAGTCGAATATCCTCAATGAATGCTCATTAGTCACGCAACTTAATTTCGAGAAAGTTTCCAGCCTAAGTTGAATCAAGAACAAAGCTGCGCCTTAAGCTCAACTCTTTTATTGTATTGATTCGGCAAATAGAATACAACTAATGCCCGAACACAAATTTGATTTAATTAACTAAAAGCATCATGAAACAATAGAAACAACTTTTACCTTAACAACCAGCTGCAGCAGCAGCAGCAGCAGCAGTAGTCAAATGGTAACAAATCCCAGACAGGCTGTTAGGACAGCAAGGCCAAATCCCCGCAGAGAGAGTGGCAGAGGGAGGGACTTATAGCTAGGCAGCACTTCAATAACAGAGTGATTAAATTTTACTACCATGTCGAACAAACAAATAATAAGAACACTTCTCGTGCCCCGCCTTTTGTGCTTTTGCAGATCACGTCGTGGAGCTGGCCGAGCAGTCGGAGAACAAGACATTGAATGTTTTCTCGCAGGTTTACAGACGCATGGAGCCGCTGTCTCGCATGCTCATACAACAGCTCTACACGGAAATCATCAAGTACGTTGTGGTGGTGCTTCTGGCTCGAAGTAAACTATTTACTCAACTTTCCTTCCTTCCATTTCCGTTCCTCTTCCGCTTTTAGCCATTTGAAGTACACGTCGAACTACAGCAGCAATAATGGCCAGGGCAATAGCATTTTGAATAGCCAGAGCAGCTTGGAGAGTGCACTGCACAAGTTCTTTGAGAATCTGTTTCCCGTTGCCTACCATCAGGCGGTGCACCTGACCAAGGATAATTATGGCGAGCTGCACGACGACTATACGAATTGCCTGAAGCACAACTATGATGACTTGCAGCCCTTCGGGCAGATACCCAAGGAGATTCAGACCAATCTGCTGCAGAGCGTGCACATGTCCAACATCTTTATGAGCGCCCTGCTGCAGAGCGCCAAGGTGCTCAGCGAAACGGATGCGCTCTACGGCAAACAGCTGACAGAGACCTGCAAGCTGCATCTGCTCAAGATGCACTATTGCCCCAACTGCAACGGGCATACGGAGCGCAGCAGGCCAAAGGTCTGCTACAGCTACTGCATGAATGTGATGCGGTAAGTGTGAGCGAATCCATCCAGCTACTCTCTTGCCATGGCTCATCATCTTAATATTTATCTCAACTTTATAGCGGCTGCTCGGCTCAGTACTCGGGCTTGCTGGACGGACCCTGGGTTGGTGTTGTGGAGGGCCTGGACAATCTGGTGACTGGCCACATACGCTCGGAAAGCGGCATTATGAACACCATTAAACAACTGGACACCAAACTGTCCGAGGCTATTATGAGAGCCATGGAAAATGGACCAGAGTTGGAAAAGAAGGTGGGTGTAGGAGATTGACTAGGGAGGGCTAGGATAAGCGCTGTGCAATGGGAGAAGGAATTATATCTCATGCAACTGATAGTTGCGAAAGGATATATTGTAGACCTATCCGAGTGGCAATTGAAGTCTGAATGAAATTTGCAATTAACTTTCATGGATAATGTGAAATTATCTCATGTCAAGTTTCAATTTAATGCATACTCCGAGCTCCCATGCACATGTATGCATTATATTTAAACTATAATTATAATATTTAACATGTGAAGTACTCGCATTACGAAAAGTATTTCCTCTTTGATATGACAAGAGCGTGCGTGCTGCGTGCTCTGTGCAGCACAAGGACGTTAATTGCGGCTTAATTTATGAACATTTTAAATTAATTTTATGAGCGGCCTTCGGGCGGATGCCAGCAGCAACCAGTTTACGAGTGGCGAGCTGCGAGTTCGAAATGGATTTAAAATGTTCAATTAGATGACATTTATTCAGGGAGAGAGACAGTCGGCTACTTGCAGCAAGTTGCAATTTACATGCAACGGCACGAGTTGCAGCTGAGCGACTGGGGCACATGAGCATGAGGCTAGACGATTAGCGTGGGGCACCGGAAGTGCGACTGAACATGCGAACGAGGCTTAACCAATTCCCTACTCTTTGCAGGTGAAGAAGACATGCGGCACGCCCAATTTGCTGCCCTCGCTGACCGCTGCAGAGACACAGCCATTGCAGCAACACGTGAGCACCAAATGGGCAATGTCGCCAGAGGCTGGCATTCTGCACTTCCTGTCAACCATTCAAAAGTCCAAGGACTTCTTTACCAACATCGTGTTCAAGTAAGTCATACAAAGAAAAAGAAGCATTTGGATGCCACACAATCGAAACTATATAAATATATATTGAGTGGATATTAGCGGGTAACTGTACGCTGTATCTATGTGTTTCAATACGATAAAATCTGGCCAATCAACGCCTCAAAGAGTTGGCAACGGCTCCGAGTTACTTCTCATCGGTGAACCGTGCGTTAAGATCTCGCAGCAACCTAAGGACATCCTTAATCAGGCACACGTAAAGTGGTGTAAAGATCGCTATAAAGAATATAATATTGGCCAAAATACAATTCTTTACAATGGGGCGACAAGCAGTCTGGGAGGCAGAGTTCATTAATAATAGTCCAATCCTGAGGACCTAGGCAAACACTTACTCCACGTGCAACGACCAAGGGACGAGCCATGCAAAATTTATGCGCAACATGATGCACATACGTTACGAACTCCTTGAACATTTTCAGGCTCAGCGTTTTATATTATATTTTCGGTTTCGTTTTTTCGGGTATTTTTTATAAATTCGAATTTTTTGTTTCAAAGAAATGTTACAAGTTAGACTGGCCAAATGGGACTAAGCACAGCTGGTTCAATTAGGCAGTCTTTCGAAATCTAAAGTCACAGCTAACTGGGTTTTCGTTGTGTTTAGCTTCTGTGATGAGGAATACACACAGGGCGACGATCATCTCTGCTGGACCGGAGATCGTGTTGGGGACTACACACAGCTGCTGATTATGCCCGGCGAGGACAGGCAACGCTACAACCCTGAGGTGCCCTGGGAGAATCAATCGCAGCTGAGCAAAATCAATGAGCTGGTGGACAAACTGCTGAAGATACGCAAGAGCATTGGCGTGACGGTAAGTGTAGATCAGCCATGAGATTATACATATTATTATAATCGAACTATTTTAAAGGCGCCTGTGAGCAATAATCATGACATACAGAGTGACATGGGTCGCGAGGGCTCCGGAGGTGGCGGTGGCGGCGGCGTTGGCGGCGGAGTTGGCGGTCACATCAGCGACGATGAGGAGGAGTATAGCAGCATACACGGCTCGGGCGATGGCTCCGGTGATGGTAGGTTATTAAATAGCAAAATACATATTAAAATACTGAGAATCTACTTCCATTTCAGGTCCCATCTCGAACACCGACGATCCATTGGGCAGCACGCCCAACACCTTTGATGGCGAGTCGCGCGACAACTCGAAGGGCGCGTCCAGCGCACTGACAGCCACTGCGACAAGCCTGCTTCTCACACTAGTCACACTCTATAGTAGTTGTAGTTAAAGCAGCACCCAAATCCCAAAAAAAAGCAAAACAAAACAAGAAAACAATGAAAAATATATATAACTAATATATATATATATATATATATATATAAATATAAATATAAAACGAAGGCAACGGCAGCAGCAGCAGCAGCGCAATTAAAAATTCAATTATTATTATTATTAATATTATTATTTTCATTATTATTATTATTATTTTTATTATTATTTGTGTAATGCCTAAGTTGTTACAATTAATTTATTAGTGTTTAAGCTAATTCGATTTTGCAAATTCAAAATCCAATTGGAGTTGCGTTACGTTACTCTGTTTGGCGTTGCCAGCCCTATTTTTTTGTTTCTTCTTCTAGCTTTTCCCAACGCCTGAGCACTTAGCACCTCAACGCTGAATCCAATTAGACTTTTGTGCCATATAAATAAATGTGTTGCGAGGTTTGCACAAACAAAAACAAAAACATAGGCTCAAACTTTGAAACAAACATGTTCTTGAAAACTCATATGAATATCTAAATATAAATATATATAGAAATACATGCATAAATAGCCGTACAGTACGTAAATTAAAATATAAAGCTCAATGTTCAAAGCGAATTGTTCCTTTTTTGGTGTAATTAAATAGAAACAAGACCGATAAATACAAAAAGTAGTTGCTGTTTGAAGAGAGCGAGAATCGATCACAAAAAGTTATACGTAAAAAATGAGAATTTAAAGATTTAAATGTGTTAAATAAGCAAACAGAATAAACCCCGAATAATTGTTATTCAACATTTTTGTGAGAGCTCAAAGAATATGAACAAGAAAAATGCATGAAAATGGAATTTAGTTGAGTAAAACGCACATTTTGGGAAAATCACTAGAAGACTTACAGCTTTATACGCATGAAACGATGAAAATCTATTGAATATGGTAACTATATATATATCTATAGATATATATATACATATATATCTAATATGTAGAATTATTTAAATTAATTTTATATACAAAAATAATTGAACAATTCGAAAGAAATGTCATCAAATGCACACACATTAAAAAACCAGCTAAATATAAAAAATATAAAAATATACCAATATTGATCTAAAGATGAGAACTGAGCAATCGCAATTGAGAATCAGCTTTTGGTCAGATTTGAGTAAAAAAAGAAAATATTTCAAATTCACAATTTAATATTTTCGTTTGTGTTGCAAAGAAAATTATACATAAATAATGCAGCCGCAAAAAAATAAGAAGAAAAAAAACAATTAAGCAAAACTAATTAAATATATATATATATATATATATCAATTTATATATATATACAAACATATGCATATGTAGTATATTAGTGTGTAAAGTGTAAAAAGAAAATGATTTATGAGAAAATGAAATTTAGTTAGTAGCCAATTAACAAAAGGATAATAATACAACAAATTGATCTACTTACTATAAAAAAAAAACAAACACATATATATGTATAACTATATAAATATATATATATATATATAAGTATATACATATATAGATATATGCATACTAATTACTAAAGACCATCTATAAAGAGCAGCTGCGGTGGGTTGAATATGTGTCTGTGTATGTTAAAACTATGTATAATTATTATTTTTATTATTTAACTATTGCATGTGATTAATAATATTTAAGTTAAACGTAAACAAAACATATTATACTGTAACTTATGTATACCGCAACACACACACACACTCACACAATGTGCGAAAAGGAAATATTTAAGCAAATCATCTTTGTAAATCTATTCGAAGATAAAAACAATTGCAAAATGTGCACAAAAAAATTAAATGTACCACTTTTTAGACGCCTAAAAACCAATAAATAATTATGTAACAAAAACAGTCCAAATGTTTATTGGGAACCTGCTTAAATTACTAATGCAGCTGCATATTTCCACAAATACATTTTGTAAAATTTAATTAAGCAAGCAATAAACGTACACATTTCGAATTCAAATTTGAAGCGCCAAATACTTTTGCAGCGTTGCCACCTAGCTTGCAATGCCCGATTAGAATGCTAAAAGCGCTGCAAACTCGTTACTCGATAGTCTCTATCGATATATTAATGTAGATTATCGCTAGAAAAAGAAAACAAAATATGCTAATAAAACAATACATAATTGATTGCAATAAATAATTTTCCATTTATTTTCGTGTATCTTATCTAATTAGAGTTTTTAATCCGTCACATATCGGTGCGATTTGGTGTCGGATCATGTCCTAGTGAATTATGGCCTATTTCGCCTGTAAGCACATGTAAAACGGCGAGAAGATAGCTATAAAGAATATTAAATTGGCCCAAATACAATTCTTTACTATAGGACGACTGGCGGCCTAAGAGGCAGAGTTGATTAATAAAAGTCATCTTAAGGAATTATTCAAGACTTACTTCAGTCGCAACGACTATAGGACGAGACATGCAATAATTATGCGCTATATTATGCACATGCGAAATAATCTCGTTTAACATATTTAGACTTAAGGCTTAACAATTTTTATTTGCGCTTTTCTATTGAATTTATTGGATATTCGAAAGTTTTTGTTTAAAATAAGTGTAACAAGTTTGACGTACCAAATCGTATCAAACGTAGATAGCTCAAAAGGGTATTTCTTAAAAATATATAAATTCAAAGCTAGCTTAGTTTTCATTGTATCCAGAGTGCTTAGCTCTGGCAACCCTGAGGTAGAATTGCAGCTGGCACTCGTTCACAATTGAGAACTATCGAAAGTATCGAAAAAAATGGCGCGAACTTAGCATAACGCGCTGGCAGGAGTGAGCGAGGCGCCGTTTTGTTGTATTTTGATAGCATTTTGTTGCACACAACAGCGGAGTCAAGATTAAACATTGAATAAATATTATAATAAAGTATAAAAATGGCGCACCGTGACTATGCACAAGACAGAGGTAAAAGCAAGGGTTAAATCAAGAAATTTTCAAAGCGATTTATAATAAATTTCATATAGAATCCATCAAAACATTTTTGGCCGAGTTCTGTAAATGTGACGATGATGGCAAAAAAGACTTTGTCTATGGCTCACAACTGGTAAAGCTCGCACATCGCGAGCAAGTATTAATTACAATCGATCTGGATGATTTGGCGGAATTCAATGAGAGCCTCGCTGAGGCTGTGATTGAGAATTGCCGGCGCTATGCGTCAATCTTTAGTGATGTGATTGCCGAACTGCTGCCAAGCTATAAGCAGCAGGAGGTGCACGCTAAGGACGCACTGGACGTCTACATTGAGCATCGCCTAATGATGGATGCGCGCACACGAAATCCTATGGAACAAAGGGATGAACGCAATGCATTTCCCACAGAGCTGATGAAGCGATTGTGAGTAGAGACAGAGTGATGGAAAGGATCCCAAATAACTTTCATAATTTCTTAGTGAGGTCAGCTTCAAACCGCAGTCCACAGAGAAGGCGCACTCCATACGCGAAGTGAAGGCCCAGCAAATTGGGAAATTGGTCACAGTTCGTGGCATTGTGACGCGCTGCACCGAAGTGAAGCCCATGATGGTGGTGGCCACCTACACTTGCGATCGCTGTGGTTCTGAGACCTATCAGCCAGTCAATTCGCTCTCCTTCATACCTGTCCAGGAGTGTCCCTCGGATGACTGTCGCGTGAACAAAGCTGGCGGTCGTTTGTATCTGCAGACGCGCGGCTCGAAGTTCGTCAAGTTTCAGGAGCTCAAAATGCAGGAGCACAGCGATCAGGTGCCCGTGGGTCACATTCCACGCAGTATGACGGTGCTGTGTCGTGGCGAGGTCACACGCATGGCTCAGCCCGGCGATCACGTTCTGATCTCTGGTGTCTTTTTACCTATGGTACGCACAGGATTTGCTCAGATGATTCAGGGTCTGCTCTCGGAGACCTTTCTGCAGGCGCACGTAAGTCTAGTAGATAATTCTTAAACGCTGCCCTGCCTAACTATTATATTCCGTTAGCGCATCATCTGCATTAACAAGAACGATGACATTACGGACAAGGATTGTGAACTGACGCCCGCTGAGCTGGAGGAGCTGGCACAGGATGATTTCTATGAGCGGCTGGCCACCAGCTTGGCACCCGAGATCTATGGCCATTTGGATGTGAAGAAGGCGCTGTTGCTGCTACTCGTTGGCGGCGTCGACAAACGTCCGGATGGCATGAAGATACGTGGCAACATCAACATCTGTCTGATGGGTGATCCCGGTGTGGCCAAATCTCAGCTGCTCGGCTACATTAGCCGCTTGGCTATACGCTCGCAGTACACCACAGGCCGCGGCTCCTCAGGCGTGGGTCTAACGGCTGCTGTCATGAAGGATCCACTCACTGGCGAAATGACGCTCGAAGGCGGCGCCTTGGTCTTGGCTGATCAGGGCGTCTGCTGCATTGATGAGTTCGACAAGATGGCAGATACGGATCGTACAGCCATACACGAGGTGATGGAGCAACAGACCATTTCGATTGCCAAGGCGGGCATCATGACCACGTTGAATGCGCGTGTCTCCATCTTGGCTGCTGCCAATCCCGCCTTCGGTCGCTACAATCCCCGGCGCACAGTGGAGCAGAATATACAGCTGCCTGCAGCTTTGCTGTCGCGTTTCGATCTGCTGTGGCTCATTCAGGACAAGCCCGACAGGGACAACGATCTGCGTCTGGCAAAACATATTACCTACGTACATAGTCATAGCCGGCAACCGCCTTCGAGGGTCAAGTCGCTGGATATGCATTTGATGCGTCGCTATATCAATCTCTGCAAGCGGAAGCATCCCACCATACCTGACGAGCTCACCGACTACATTGTGGGCGCCTATGTGGAGCTGCGTCGCGAGGCACGCAACCAGAAGGACATGACGTTTACATCCGCTCGTAATCTGCTCGGTATTTTGCGTCTGTCCACGGCTCTTGCACGTCTGCGTCTCTCCGACCGCGTGGAGAAGGACGATGTGGCCGAGGCGCTGCGTTTGCTCGAAATGTCAAAGGATTCTCTAAACCAAATACATGAACACCAAAAGGGACAGTGAGTATTGCCCAAATGTCTCCAATTAGCAATGATTCTTACTATCCTCGAACTCTTGCAGCGTGCCAAATACTTCGGATCGCATCTTTGCCATCGTACGCGAGCTGGCCGGCTCTGGCAAGGCTGTCAAGATCGCCGACATCATGGATCGCTGCACGACAAAGGGCTTCAAACCGGATCAGGTGGACAAGTGCATCGACGACTACGAGGAGCTCAACGTCTGGCAGGTCAACATGGGCCGCACCAAAATAACATTCATCTAAGCCTACCACATCCGGGGCTTATTTTATCTATTTCTATATAACTGTTAAGCTCATCTCAAAGACATTTCAGCAACAAATTCACATTTCATTTTTAATTAATTAATAAAATCGCATATTTCTCTAATTTAGCATGCATAAATTGACTTTTATTGAAGCACACTTAAACACAGATAGAGACAAATACATATTTAATACATTTAAAAGATTTGTGAAATATGAAAAAAAAAAACAATACGCGCAGAGCTCAGCTTTGTTGCCTTTTAAATTCGTAGTTCAATCCTTTTCGGTTGCATACAGATTCCCAAATCCCGATTCAATTATACAGACATCGATAAGTATATAGATTATAATATATGTCATTTAACAAAGAAGCGCTACTTGGTTATAGTTACGACCAGGTGCTCAGGTGCTCGGGTGCTCGGTTGCTCTACATGCTCTTGTTGAAGCTTAGCGCAGCTCGAAGTTTATTACGTATACGCGGAGAGTTCCAGCGATTGCAGCCCGCCGAGCTGAGGCCCACCACAGAGCGCAGCTCATTGGGTGAGATGCCCTCGTCGACATCATCAGCCTCCGTTTTGATCTCCATCTTCTGCACAATGAGACGCACCAGCTGATGCTGCTGCTCCAGCATACGACTGATGTCGCGCAGCTTGCGTCGCTGACGGTCCAGCTCAGCATTGATGAAATCGTCATTGTTATCAAAGCCAATCACATCCATAGCAGCTGTGCAGAGGCAGAGTTAGTGGTAGCTAGAGTTAGAGCTAAGCGGACTACTTACAATCCTCGGTGAAGGGATTTGAAAACCATTTGCGCAATATGAAGTCGAGAAAGCCAATTTTGCATTTGGTATCATTTGGATATTCAATCAGCTCCATCTTATCCACGCGCTGCAACCACACATGGGGCAGCTTACGCTCCAGCTCGGTATGAAGCACCACCTGCATGGCCAGTCGCTTTAGCTGAGCATTGCGACGCACTGACTCGATGTCGCCCACGGCCAAACCGATGAGCAAATTCATCAGCAAAATGGGCATCAGAATCATAAAAACACCTGAGGCGAAACAGAGTTCGATAGAGAAATGTGTGAAGAGCGCTTAGTCAAGCAGATGTGGCTCACTCAGTATCAAGAAGGAGGTCATGGGCACCTTTAGCTGGTCGCGATAGTAGGTGTTGACATAGGTGCCCACAAAATCCAGCTCGCCCAGCATCATGGAGAAGGTGCGCAGCAGGGACATGGGTATATTGGAGAAGGACAAGTGATTCGGCTGTGGATCAATTATCTGTAAGAGAGTGAAACCCAGCTAGAAGACAATGATCTAATCATAGCTAGTACGTCAAACGCTCACCTTCGACAGCAGTATGTAGAAAGCCAGGCCAAAAGCAATGATCAGTATGGAGAAGACCAGCAGCACTTTGATCAACGTCTGTAATATCTCCAGGAACATGACCACATAGATGCCAACCTGATCGAAGCGCTGCAGGAAGAGCAGCAAACGAAACCAGGACAAGAAAACGGCAATCGATGCAGCTGAATAGTGAATGGTATTAATGGCGCCATCCGGCCTGAAGGCGGGCGTTATCATAATCAAAGCTGATATGTACAGCACCCAGGAGATGAGATTGACCGTCTCCACCAAGTAGTGCAGACGCTGCTGATAGATCTGTATCAATTCACGCATCGAGTTGAGCAATATGTAAACGACAATCACAATGGCACAGAAGAGTATGGCCGTGGTGCGATTGATGCTCTCCACGCACGAGTCCAGACGTATTTGAGCAGCCAGCGCTGGGCTCTGCGACAGATTCCTGGTCAGCACCTCCCACCTGGCATAGGTGGATAGATAAATGATTCACCTGAGAACGGAGTCCAGTTAACACTTACCCCAAGTTGCAATACTGACTGACAGCTTTGTTGTCTCCGGGACGCAGTTCAATGTTGTTCATCATCAGCGATGAGTAGATTGTGACAAAGACCAAAAAGATGGAGTAGACCAGCAGATTGGCGAGATGAAAGTATTTGCCATACGAATTCCATTTCATTTGCAAATATTTCTGGCTTAGCGGGTGGGCCAGCAGCTCCACGCGTCCGTGTGTGACCATGGTCTAGCCAGGCAAAAGGAGTGCGGTGAGAGGGAGAGAGAGGGAGAGAGAAAGAGAAAGAGAAAGAGAGGGGGAGAGAGAGAGAGAGAAGAGAGAGAGAAGAGAGAGAAGAGAGAGAAGAGAGAGAGAGAGAGAGAAGAGAGAGAGAGAGAAGAGAGAGAGAGAGAGAAGAGAGAGAGAAAAAGAGGAGAAATATAAATAGATATAGAGTAAAATAAAGAGATATATAGTGAGATAGAGAAATAGAGAGGGATATATGGAGAGAGAAACAGAGAGATAAAGAAAGAAACAAAGAGAGAGAGAGTCACATTAGTGAAGAGTTACTTTATCTACAGTCACAACAAATAGTAAAACAACACTAAGTCTACACAGTACAACAAAGTTCAGCAAGTGCATGTTCTTGGGACGATTTTACAGTTGCCTTTAGTTTTTTTTTTAGGAGAAAATTAGTTTTCCACATAGTTTTCAAACTTAGGTTTAGACTCACATTCACAACGGCCAATGGCGCCGGCCGCCATTTAGGATCATTGAGTTCTTTACGCTTTTCCTCAATTTGCTCGGGGGTTTTTTGGAATGGCGCAAATGAATATTTGATCTAAATGTATTTTGTTTTTATATTTCGAATTAAAATTAAAACAGTCTCAAAGTGTGATGTGGTGCATGTTCGTGACTAATGAATCGGATGTAGCGGACCCTAACTGCAAGATCATCAGGCAAGAGAAACAAAAACCGAAACAAAAATCAAAGAAAAACGAATAACGGTAAACGAACAAGTATAAAAAGACACTCAAGTGGCATGCAACTGTCTGGGCAGCTGATTTCTGCTTACATTCAAAGCCGGCAATGGAATGGGATTTGATGTCATGATCGGCTCTCCGGTTTTCTCATCGATCTTGGCAAACATATAGGGACATTGCAAGAATGCGAATGAGTACCTAATCTATATATATCATTGCGATTCAAAGAGAAGAATTTAGAGTTTAGCAGCCGCTGGCCAACTAGCATTTAGTTCATGAAGTTGATGAGATGAGCTTCTAAATGTTGAATGTTAAATGTGCCCCGAGTGAAGGACCACGATCAACTTACGTAAAAGCTCTTCGAATCCTTCTTACAATTCGCCTTCGTAATGCACTTGTCCTGCACAGCCTCGAATACCTTCGGCATGGAGGCGATTAGGGCCAGGGTCACGCATGGATGTTTATCGGAGCGCAGAGCCATCACCTCGTTCGCCCGCTCCTCGTGGGTGACCATGGCGAGCGCTGCCTCCGGATACTTGTAGTAGATGGCGTAGTCAATGGCACTCATGTCCAGCACATTGTAGACCAGTTTGCAGCCCATGGACATCAGCACGGATATCGCATGAGGCTTGTTCTCCATCGTGGCCAAGTGCAACGCGGTGTTCTGTCCGAGAGAGATGTCGATGGAGATAAATAATAAGCCAATCTGATAGCCACTCATTCATGCTCTTACCCCATCTTTGTCCAGTTGATCGAGTAGATGCGAGTGCACCGAGTGCAGCAGCTCTATGGTCTCAGTGTAGCCTGACATGGCAGCCAGCTGCAGAGGATTGCGACCCGAATGATCGCGATGCAGCAGAGCTCCACGATTGAGCAGTAGCTGCACCACGCGCGTATGCCCCTGCTGCGAGGCAATGTGCAGTGGCGTCATGCCCGCGCCATCGCTCTCGTTGATGATGAACGAGCCCTTCTCCGAGTCGAGCAGCTGTCGCACCGTATTGTAGCGGCCATAGCGTGCGGCAAAGTGCAGCGGACTCTCGTTGTTGTTGTTCTTCAGATTGATGCAGGCGCCCAGCCGTATGAGATTCTCCAGCGAGCGTATATGCCCATCCCGACTAGCATAGTGCAGCGGCGAGCAGCCCATGTTGTCCTTCTCATTGAGCAGCAGCTGCAGCTGCGCCTGTGTCTGGCAATTGGCCACCTGCTCGGCAAAGTCCGTCAACCGGCCGCCGTTCATGATGACAAAGTGCAGCACATTCCGCGCTGCAGCATCCTTCACATCGATGCTGGCGCCCAGACGTATTAGCAGATGCACTAGAAACATAAAGACGTTTAACTAAAGTTAGTCGCATTTACTATCCAGATTTGCCCACCCGTTTTCCAGCCGCTGCGCGAGGCGGCCAGCAGCAGCGGCGATCGATGCTCCTTGTCCAGCGCATTGATCTCTGCGCCCTCGTTGACCAGATAAGAGACAATATCCGGATGATCGAACATGGAAGCACAGTGCAGCGGCGTCATCTTCTGTACATCCGTGCAGCTGAGACAAATTCGCTTCTCCAACGGCTGCATCTCAAACATAAGTTTTACTATTTCAATTGCGCCCTGTGATTGATGAGCATGCGAAGAGACAATTTTATAAAGTTTGTTGTGAAGGCTCAACTGCTCGACTAGAGGCTACCCTATGCCCTGCAGCTTATTCCGTCTGCATCCTCTAGAAATGCAAGTCGAAGCTAAAGAGTCACATGTGCACAGGTAAATTGACTAAGTTCATTAACCCCGCCTACATTGCACTTTCGCCTACGTCAAATCCACATTTAATGTACTCCTTGAACATATTTTCGAGTTATTTCAGCTATTTTGATACCTTAAATATGCGATAAATCAAATCAGAAATGTAAATAAACAAATCCATAGAAGTTCGCGCTCTTGATGAACCTTTTGTAAACTTATTCGCAGAACCTTTGATTATTTATAGAATACAAGCTGAGAGCTTGTTTCCCTGGCACACCTCTCTGTCCACTCACGTGTCTTTGTTTTGGTATGTGCTAACGCACTGCCGAATGCTCAACTGTATTTGGCCACAAAGTCACGTTCGTCTTAGCGGCATTTGCATAAGAATTTGTCAAATTAAAGTCAGCTAAAATATTTCTTAAAACAGGAGAGAAATGTATCCAGAGCTGGGAGCTGCGAACTGACAACTGGGAAGTCGAGAGCCTTTTACTGAGAACTGTGTTTGGCTATCGAGTGCGTGCCAAATGGACATTCGCTTAACCAGCTGTGACACTGCGAAATATGAGCGCTGTCTGGCTAAGCTGTATGTCCTTGACAGACACCAAGGCATCGCACCATCCAACCACCCAACCACTTACCTGGGCGCAAGCTAAGTGCACGGGCGTTGAGAGATCGTGTTGCTGTGTGGATATCTTCGCGCCAGATTTCAGGCACAACTCCACGGCTTTGATGTCACCTCCATGCACAGCTGAATGCAGCGGCACATTGCCCTCGGAATCGTAGAAGGATATCATTTCCTCGCGAGTGCAGCCGCGTTGTTCGCCCCACTGAAATAACCAAGGATAGATAAAGCTTTAATTGCACTATGCTTATCGAGCGAGACAAGCTGTTACTAAGTTGGTGAGAAGAAGAGAGATTTCGATTAATATATAATTGTAATTTAGCTAAGACAGAAAAACTTCTGATTGGAAACTGTTCGTATAAATAAGAAAATCATTAAGAGCTTCCACTTCTAGAAAATTCTAATTTAAAATCTACTCTAGTCTAGTCTAGAAAAAACAGGAAAAAAGTCGTTGACCGACTTTGGGCTTGACCCAAAATTTGATATTTTTAAGCGAGGAACCCCCTGCATTGTCTTTTATTTTATTTTATTTTTTTTTGTTATTAAATCAGTTGAAAAGTCGCAACATCCGTAAGCTGGTCGAATTTGATACTTTTATAATTGACTTCTTTATGGGGCAGCAGCGTGTGCGGCGAATACGCCATTTCAAAGCAACACGAAAAAACGGACATTAAACTGAAGAGTCCAATGCAAAAGGTTAACTTGTCTTGGCTGCAACACGAATTAAGTAAAGTGGATAAGCGCCTGGGGACACTGATTGGTGAAGCACTCACAAAAACTTTGTCAACAACTACAAGGCGAACCGAGGAGTATCTGTGTGTGTGTGTTCGTGTGTGTGTGGGTACTTGCCTGAAAGAAGACCTCCATGGTCTTAGAGCTGGCGTTTTTAGCCGCCTCGTGTATGGGATAGTAACCATTGTTGCAAGGTCTACGGGGGCATGCATCAAATTCTGTTATCTGTAAGATACGACATACACAAATGCATTACATAACATACTCCCGGAGTCAACTACTCAAACATAACACAGTACGTATACATAATGCAGCTTACAAAATAATATAGCATACTTTTGTGCGCAACCAAATTGAAATATGTACAAACCTTTTTGTTTCTCTTTGTTCGGATGATAAATGATTGAGTATTTTATTGTGATTGATTAGTGTTTGATATAAGAGGCATAACTGAGCAGGTAATACAACAATAATAGATACATATGTATATATATATTTACAAAGACTTTGGCGACTCACACCACCTACCAGGATACGAGCGCACTCCTCATGATCGTAGATAGCAGCCAAGTGCAGAGCGGTGCGTCCGTGCTCGCCGCCCTGCTGGATGTTGATGACATTACGGTATTGACCCATGACACGCAAGCACTTGACCTTGTTGAGCTCCGTGGCCAAATGGACCGGCGCCTGCTTCTTCTCGTTCAATATGCCCGTATCAACAGGACTGTAAACACAGGTTGAAAAACATAAATCATAAAACTGCAAGCTGCTGCAGGCCTGGCCTGCCGCCACTTACATCGAGAGCAAATAGTCCAGAGCATCGTAAGCATCGCACTCGACAGCAATATGCATCGGCGTATTGCCGGCATTGTCCTTGGCATTGAAGTCTGCGCAAGGGGGAGGCAGATTTATTACTATAGCAATCGGCTGTGGCCGCTTCACTTACCTCCGCTCTGATCGCGTATGTAGCGCAAGATGTTGACACGATTCCTGGCCGCTGCCTGATGTGCTGCCGTCCGTCCCTTGCCATCCTGCAGTGCGATACGCGTGTTATCAGCCATAAACAGACGCTTAAAATCATCCAAGTTGCCCGACTCAGCGGCCTGCAAAATGACAGAAGGATTTATGTCAGCTCAAAACTCAATTTGAAGTGGAATTAAAGCTGAAAGCCTTGCCGTCTACTCTCGCTGCAGTTGGTCACAGCACTCGAGTCAAATCAAAATTCCACTGTAAATTGAACAAGGCACACGCAATATTCATTTATGTGTTGCCCCTTGCAACCGGCGACGCACAAGCAACGCACAACAGCAATGTCAATAGAGTTCTTAATCAGAAATGAATTCTTCTTCTTCGACAATTGTCATTTGTCGTCTGCTTGCCATTGTTCTTTGTGTAGCAGCTGCTGCTTGATGCAGTAGCTACTTCATTTGCATGAATCTATTTAGTTAGCACTCGGGCTTCCTGGCCAACTGAATCTAATTACTACTTGATTAACAACTTCTAAACGAGTTTAGGAATTTCTCGTCCGTTTACCTGCAGCATTTCGTTGACGTGAATTTTGGGCGCCGAAGACATCCGTAGGATGCGCGCCCATTTGTTGGGCAAACTCAGTGGCGGCATCTCCGACAGCTCTGAGCCGGAGGCACAGCCGCTAATCAAATAACGCAATGGACTGATGACCACATCTCTTTTCGGTATCTCCTTGTCGTTCATTGTGTTAGGCGTCGTTCGCTCAATTTCATTGTTTATTTATTTTTTATTTCTTTTAAATCTTCATTCTCTCGTTAACAACTGCCAACGGCTTCCGTCTTAACTTGGTTTTCCGTTTTTAACAAATATTGTTTTTCAAATATATTTAGTTAAACATTAAACAATTCAGCTCAAACTCTGTATATTTATCGATATAGTTAAGCATTTGTTTAAGAATTTAATAAAATATATATTTTATATAGATTTCTGGTTCTTTCTTTAATTTTTAAAGAATATAATAATGTGATATATAATAAGTAATATATTATATTATATATTATATTTATTTAAAAAAAAAAAAGAAACTGTTTTCAGTCACATCTTGACGTTTTCTTGCTTTTAATATGTTTTCTTTTAAAATTTTAAAATATTTTCTTCACAATTTTAGTTCACATTTTGTCAGCATTTATTGGATTTACTTTCAAGCTTAACCAACTGTATTTAAAAGTATTTTCTGATCTCACTGAATTGGCTTTGCGCGCACAACAAGTCCTGGCAGACTGAAATCTCGGCATACGCATCCTTCGCTTTTATAGCCGTGCCTTGCCGAAGGCAAGGATTTTGAGCGAAGCACGACGCGTGGTGAATTTCCTTTAATTTCACAGTCAATTTTCATTTTCATGTTCATTTGCTGTTGTTGCTGTTGTTGGGGGTAACTTGTTGCGCTGTGTAGCTCTTGCGTGTCTTGTTGGCATTTCTGTTATGCATAGCTCTTGGCACTTGCTTATCTTTGAGCTCCATTGTTATCTGGCTTTATGTAATAACAAATCGTGTTTGCCACACACATTGAACTTTGACACAGTTGAGCGCAGTAGCCTCATAAATGAACTGTTGACATGGCTGTAAATCGGTTCGAAACCGGAAGTGGCTCTGGAACCCAAGCGGTTGCTTGAGCGACAATTGATTTGTGATCAATCAGAAGTGGAATAAACTGTGCTTGAATTTCGATTACACTAGGGGTCTAGGTTAGGTACGGTGGGATAGGTCTAGGTAGAACTGACATTGAGCGAGCTGTTAAACAAAGCCGAGATTCCTTCTTATTTCTCTTATGCGGGTTTCTCTCTTTATATTTCTCTTTGTCGCCTTGCCCCAGAGCTCTTCAAAGCTTTTAAAATCGCTATCTTATGAATCAGACAGAATATAAAACGGCTAACAATTTATCTCTTCATTTGTCTCACTGAGCCGTCTGGGAACAAAGGCAAGTTAAAGCATTGAGAGTCAGTAAGTACGAAAGCTATTTTAAAGCATTTTCTTCAGATCTCGTTGGCGTATATAATTAAAAAGATCTAACTAGTTTTAGCCTACTCTTGTGATCTTGAGATGCAGAAGTTCTAGCTAGTTCTAGCTAGTTCTAGCTATATTAATAATCATTACTCTCCCTTCGCTTCTCTCTCGTCTCTCCCGCTATCTTTTCCTAGTTCAGATCTCTCTTCAACTAGATCGCATTAGCATAATTATCTCGGAATCTTCTAGAGTTGCTAAGTTCTAGCTAGTTTCAGCTATTTTTGGCTAGACAATCAATAAGCTTTTTTCATAACACATCTCCTGGGAATCAGTTTATCACTCTAGCAAATTGGCAACCACTCGATTAGCCAGACTCACCCTCAATATCCTGAAGGGGCTGTCACGCAACAGGCAGACCTGTTCCACTTGCTGTTCGGCTGGCAGTATGGCCTCCAGTGGGGACTCCGCATCATCTCCCGCCATATCCACACGCTTGGGACCGGCACTGCGCTCGATTATCATCGAGAATATCCAGTACTGCGAAATTAACCAGCTCTTAAGCTCGATACGTTTCTAGAATTTCCATTGTCTCACTCACCTTGCTATTGCGATTGCTGGCCCCGCCCCCGCCACCACCGCCGCCGCCACCACCACCGCCTCCGCCGCTATTGGAGCGCAACTTGGGCAGCAATTTGGGCTGTGCCTCCATCAGATCGGGCGGCGAGAGAGCTGCACATTGGGCATTGTAAACATTATTCCAGAGCTTGGGCATATTGGGCGGATCCAGTTGCTGTGGCTCTTGCTGATCTATGCCAGCTGTTGCGATGGTAAAGGGTCGCAAGTCGCGACTGTGAACGATAGATTGGCATTCGTCAGTGCTGCGTATTTCACAATAATCCCTGTCACAATTATCAGCCACAATCAATCGGCTAATTAGTTATTGATTGGGCTGCCCAAACCAAACCGTTTAACAAACGTCTCTCTCTATTTAGATAACCCAATCACTCGTCACACGATATTCAAACTTGTTGTTGTTGTTGCTTTTGTTTGCTCAGGAAGATAAGGGTGCAAGCCGCAGCTATCGCGGGGGTTGGCAACTGTACAATAACGCTTGACGGGTCTCTGAAATAATGCTGCCAATTTCTCGGACTGTCTCTTAGTAAAAAACCGAGAAGAGTATATTAGTTTTATTGTAATATATGTACCAGGCAGAAGGCTGTGCCAGGCACTATAAAGTATATTTATACCCGATAAGGATGACGAATTGAATCTAGTCTATCTTTGGGTCGTATACTCCCGAGTCGAGCACTCGCTACTGTTTAACCTAATGTTTATAATTGTCACGGTGTCAACGCCCGTTTGTCACAGTTTTTATTGCGCCGCTCTCTGGGGAGACCGAATGGTTAATTAAAGAGTCGCTTAGTTTTGGCAGAGACAGTTAAGGGCACATCCATTTGCATTATACACTGGCCACGCCCCTCACCTGCTCTGCTCCAGCCGCATAGCGAGACGGTACACAGAACCAACTACCTCGAAGACTGAAAACCAACTAAACGATAAATCTGGCGTCTGATATTTACCTGCATCAGTGGCTTCTTAATTAAATTACACAGATAAAGATCAGCTGTCTATATTCGAATCAGAGCCAACATGTCTTATGCATGCCTCGTCGGCATTGTGCATTTGCCTAATGAAAATATCGAAAAGGTTTGCAAGCTGAGCAGGCTCTAGCTTATTGTGATTACCCAATCGTCCAATCGAAAGGTCAATTTTCCTTTTTTATGGGCTGATGAGTTGACAAAATGCCCAAAAACTTTGATTAGTATGAGTGCTGCAGGCAAACAGAAGGTAACATATGTGTCTTTTCCTTTTGGCATGAATTTGATTAATTAAATTGCTAGACATTGCAATATCAAATGACATATGGAGAGCTCTTTTCTAATACTGAGAGGTGTTTATTGCTGCAGAGAACTTTCTTAATTTAATTAATATTTTTGCTATTCTATAAAATTAGAATTAACTCTTCTAGAATAATAAAAGCTGCCTGATAGAGACTATCGTAGAGCAAATGTGCAACAGCAGGGCGACTTGCAATAGAGTCTGTTACCTCGTTAAAAAGAACTTTCGATGGAAAAGCTGGCATTTGGACACAGGTGCAGATTAACAGTGTGCAACTTGGGCACATACGAAGGCTCCACCTTGAGGTTTAAAGTGGAATAATTCCTGATCACAGGATGAGAGACAGCCTAGGATAGAGTAGATTTATTAATCGGTAAGCAGTCGAACACACACTAAAGGGACGACCCGACTGACGTTTACCTACGTCAACCACAAAGAGATGAAGAAAATTATTATTCTTATTACAATATGTCTGCTTGTCCACTCGCAGACTGAACAGACTTATTCCATGAACAATATCAAATATTTCTATATAACAGATATTTTATATATATATTTATTTATTGCACCTAATTGAAATTGATCAGTTTTTGAGCTACTTCTTAATGTCTTCTTTCATTCCATGACTTCTATTGCCATGTTTTTATTAATAATTATTTAAATATTAAATATAACTTAAATATTCCACATTTTAATTTTAGTTTTTACCTGATTTCCAATGAGAAACGTTCGAAGTTTAGTTTCTGCTGCGCAGCTTTAAAAGCGATCATAAAAATTTGTATTTCCTTTAAATAGCGCGTATAATTTACATTTTCAATTGGCCTTTAATGAAAATAATAGTTTAATCTTTAGTTGTTTTCAAAATATATTCAAATTACCAACACTTTTTTCTTTATGGTAAAATTACTTAATATTCAAATTGTTATATGCAAATATAGTTAAAGCTGGCAGCTGGCAGCTAAAAAACTATATTGTTTAAATGTTTAAATGTTTTCATATTTTTTACTTTTAAAAAACATTTTTTTTTCGCAAATTATGTAACTTATACAAAGTATAAAGTTTATTTAAAATTCTGAGCTTAGATTTAGAAAATAGCAGAAATATAATTTAAATTATTTGATTAAGATATATTTATATATTTCTTAATTATATTATTTATTATTTTGTTCTCCCTTTAAGAAGAGCCACGCACTGTGCCATATGTTTGAACTGTGTAAATCGAGTTGGCAATAATTTAAAGGAAACACTATTTTGAGCTTAAGTTTTCCTTCGCAAACTTTCAGTTATTGATGGACAGGTGGGTGGCACTTATTTTTATTATGTTTTTACTTGACTTTCTTTGAGCACAACACTTTAATTAAGAAACCCAATTAAAAGTGTTTTGTGTGTTGTTGCTTTTATTGGCACTCGACCTCTGCGTACCGACAGCCTCGCCAGCTGAACTCCAACTGAGAGCTAGAGCAACTGAATTGCGAATGTAGTTCAGCTAACCCATTGAGTGAGTCCCTAGCCTTTAACTAGGGCCTCCATCCAAGTCTGATAAGCGTGTCAGCCTTTCGTCAATTTGTCACACAGCTCAACTGAAGCACATACGAACCTCATACGACTGCTGGGCATTCGCTCGACATTTGCTTTTGTAATTAAGCTGTTTGCGAAATGCTCACAAATGTTATATGTAAATTGTATCTATATTAATATATGTATATATATATACATATATATATTCGTGTCTGTGTCACTCTGGAATATGGTGAAATACGCCACACAAAGGCATTCTACATTAGCTTTGCATTTGTGGCCTTTTCTTATCAATGGGCTAACAATGTCCGTATTGGCGAGGGTAAGGCACTGCGTACTATCGATTGAATGAGATCTTTAATCTGTGTTGCGTTTAGAATAAGTATATATTCTATTCTATTTTATTTCTATGTGTGTATGTGTGAGCCTAGAGCTGGCAATTTTTAAAATGAACAAACTCCCTGGAGTACGGCTGAAAATTTCATTTTATAAATTGTGCTACTTAGATGATTTTAAAGGATTGATATAATGATATATATATATATATATATAGGCATACATCTATATATTTATCATAGCTGACACAAGTAATGAATTACAGTGGAAAAATTATTGCTGACAATAAAACCAAACCCACATTCTTGTTTGGGATTCGTACTAAATTAAAATATTCTCCAGAAGAAAATTTGCTTTAAAGCTCAGCTTAAGGCACATTGGATTTTGAGCATATATATATTAATATTTCTCTGTTTATATATATTTCTGTATAATAGTAGCAATTTAAGGGCTAAGATAAGTTCAGTTAATAGCTTACCAAAACGTTATTTGAGTTTTAATCCTCAATTCCTATTGAAGATTGCTCACATTTTTAAAATATTTTTATAATATATTTTATTTACATTTTATATATTTTTTAGCAACTTTTATACTTATTTATTCTTACAATTTTTGTTAAATGACTCAGTTAAGTTCCCAGTTATAACTTTTCCTTCAATCAACTGATTTCAGCTCACTCTTCCAACTCGCGCACCGTCTTGCCTTCTCTGTGAGCCCGGGAAACCCCAGGCGTGCTCACGTTTCCATCCCCAGTGGAAACCTGCAAAGTCTGAACGGCATATGTACCACGTATATAAGCATCTAGATATATATATATATATATATATGTATATATATATATGGTATACTATGTATCTGGGCAGCCTTATCGCTGGTCAATCGAATGCCTTTTCAGCAAATACTTATTCCAGCAATTGCTAATTGCATTTAATTAATCAGAAGGCGACGCCTTACAGGCAACACATTCGATATTTAATAACACTTAAAAAGCCAATGCAACAAAAGAAAAAATTTAGTTAATTGTAAAAGTTGTAAAATGAAAATGGAAAATCATTTGAGGGGTATTTTCAGAAGTTGGGTGGGCATATTATAAATAAACAGAGTCAAGCCCAGAGCAAGGCACATCAAGAAGATTCCACAGTAAACATATTTGCGTACGACGGGCCACAGAATGAGATTTGCGGACTTGAAGGGATGTGTCAAAGGATTAAACGAGGTTTTGGGACGACTGTAAAAGAAAAGAAAATTCATAAGCGATGAAGATGTGAAAATGTTTGCGTAAACCTACTTGGGTGCCTCCAGCGCCATGGGCGGCTGATGACCTAGGCCCGCAGGTGTATTGGAGGCCTCAGCCTCAGTTAAGACATCTAACTGCAGCTGTACTTTGCCCTAGAATTTTAAATACAATTTCGATTAGAGCGAAACAGAGTGAGAGTGAGAGAAAGAGGAAGAGAAAGGGGCACAGATAGTGAACAAATCATAACGATCTGATACGATGCAAAGATCTTAAAGATCTTACATCTTAAATCTGAGCAATGAAACAAAAAGATAGATAGATAAGATAATAGATGCGAGTACTCGAATATCTTAGAGAGTTATAGATCATACGCACCATAACCGCCCTATTCTCGGCTTCTGCATTTGACTTCTTTTGGTTGTCGACAAGAGGAAACCAGCCCTCAACAGTCGTTCTATTGAATAGATTGATACGCGGATGGGAGTTGGGAAAGGGTTTGCAGCGTCTCTCGGACTTATAGGGCATGGGCAGATCGGATAAATTGAGCTCCAGGGCGCCTAAGTATTCATCTCGACTTAAGACATCCTTATCCCACACCTGAAAATAGATTAATGGTGGCTTCTTGATTTCGATTTCCTCGCCTTGCAGCCCGCCCGTGTGCCTTATGACCATCTGCGAAGCAGATTTAATGAGGTGCTTCATTATCTATGCGGTGCATATTATTTTACATCTGCCAATTAGGAGCGGCAGCAGCACCTACCATGTCCTCGTTGGGCGAGTATTTCATTTGGAATATCATCCGCCAATTAAATGCAGCCTCGCCCGCAAATGAACGGTAATGTATATCCGTCGACTGGTACTTGCCCGCATCCTGGCACCAGCTGCCGAAGAGCACAAAATGCAAAATGCGCTTAATTGAATATCGTTTACAGCTTGCGCACCCCTATCCCAGCCTAACCCTCTTGCAGCCCTTACCCAATCACGTAAATATCGCTCATTAATTTGCCAAAAATATTCGTATCCCCAAACTGAATATTGCGCAAGCTTTTGACCACAACACGCACCTCATAGTCAAACGGCGGCACGGGTGTCACGTCTATAGGCGTCGGCAGAAACAGGCTCGCCTCATACAGCTCTAACCACATTTGGATTTTGCCCTGAAAAAAGGCAAAAGAGTAGCGAATTCAAATCTTTTCCCATATGCAACTGCCTATACCCTATCTATTTGGCCCTGCTTCCAATTAAAGCTAAGCCAAAGTTTTGCTTACTCTATTCCATTTCTTAATAGGCTAAGCCCTTGCTCGATCAATCAGTCAAGCAGTTAATCAGTCTTATATGGTTACCTGTAAGACCCCTGGACTATTGTCGTTATATATGGAACGCGTTTCGACATGCTCCGGCACCAGTTTGTAGCCAAATGACGGCAACTTGTCCATATTGTGGAGGGCCGTCAAGCTCAGTCGCTCCTTCAGCTCCTCCGCTAAAGACAAGAGATTTAGTTTAAGTCTAGAACTCAGCTTAAGTACGCACACTTTGAAATGACGGTCTCATCGCCCAAGAGCATGCCGTCCACCTCGATCACATTGCCGTAGTAGTAGGGAGGCTGAATGCCGCGCTGTAGGCAGAGGTCGGCCAGCAGCTGGGAGGGCGGCATTGTATCGCGCCACTGGTTGTAGCCAAAGCGTGAGTACTCCAGTGGAATGCCCACTGTGGCGCGATGCTTGCTGTGCCAACGATCCTCCAGATCGATTTGTGTATAGCCAATAATTTCATCTTTGTGCTTGTCATGATCGAAGAGGCCCACCTCCAGTATGGGATCGGCGGGCAGCGTTGTGCTCAGCTCGAAGAAGCGTCCAAAAACCGGATTACTTTGATTGGGCACATAGTGTGCATGATCCGAGACCATTTTGCCACCCAGTGTGAGGCGCACATACGTGTCCGAATCGGAAAACCAATCTCGAGGCCTCACCTGCAGAGCCTGTACTATGTAAACCCTGACTAGGATTTTGACTACATCGGTAAGCGACTTGATTAGATTCTGTTCACGTGGACTTAGAGCAGCCGGCAAAGGATGCAAAATATTCCCATCGCCAAAAGCATCCGTAGCTTTCGCACACTCACAAGGCGTCAGTTTAATCTGCAGCTTCAGTGTGGCATAGACATCCTCTTTGGGTGGGGCATGCTTCTTAAGCTTGACGCCATGCACCAACGGCACGGGCACAGCCCAATCTTGGAGAAAACTGAATTGTGGCTGCTTCTCCAGTTCTCCATTGTAGATGATCAACTTGTGCTTGCATTTGTTCAAGCCATCCTGGCGTCCAGTCCACATGGAATTGTAGAACTTTGTCCACCACGTGAACTGTGTATCCACGACTTCGTTCAAATCCCTGCAATCGTAGAGGCTGAGTGCATTCTTGTTGGCATAGGCAGCGGAGCGTAAGCCAAAAATGATCTTAAAACGTTTCCAGAATATGTTTTCCCTCTCCAATGGGTTGATCCTCTCGTCCTCTTCCGTGTCATCATCCTGATGTATAACAATTGTGGAATTGGCCGCGGAACTCTCAGCTGACTTTTGCGTGCATTTGTTCACCCGATTCTTTTGTAGATAGTTCGGCGAGGGAGGTATCAAAGCAGCGCCCAAGGTAGACTCATTGGAGAAGGTGCTGACCAGCACATCTGTGGCTATTATAGCTGGCCAATACTCTTGTTGATCGGGCAGATTCTGTAAGGTTCTCGATAGCTATCAAAGAGTAGTTCAGATTAAGCTTAGGGTTACCCACCACCACGCCGGAGGCATAGGCGACCAGGAAGTTGATGCTGTTCTTCACCCGCGAAGTGGACAGTCCACTAGTCAAAACCAGATCGGCCATGATGACCTTGGCACGTCGTTTGCCCGCCATGCTCATGCCCATTTTCGAATAGTTGCGCAGTCCAACGAAAATAACCTCGAGCCTAGTGCCGTGGGTATTCAAGCATTTCGTGTGTTTAAGTAATGTTACTAAGACTCACACGTAGTTAAGCATGTTGGGTCTGATAGTCAGGGGTATGCCTGTGGTCAGCTCCGGCTCTTTATCGAAGACCTGTTTATCGCCAACGAGCTGCTTCAACTCCACAGACATTAACAGCTCAGCCTGGACCATTCCATTCTTGGCCACGGAAATCCACTTCAGAGGAGGTGGAGTGACATTCCTTAACTTTTGCAACTTCTGCAGAGCACCCTGACCCCAATACTTGCTTTCATCGCCGTGGCTGCTCTCGTCGCTCTGATCCGCAGTGATCACATTTGACACGATTTGGCCACTGCCCACAGTTTCGTGTTGACAGTTGAAGAACTCCAAGGCTAGCATCGGCGGATTCTGCAGATACCAACTAATGTCACCCGGCAAGGACAAGCCATTGATGGTGATCACAGCATCCCAAATGGGCGAACAGATACTCTTAGCTCCATACGTTTCGACTACCTGCGATGCAAACAGAACGCGCACGTGTCCATTGCATTCGACTTTATTCTCATTGCCGGGTCGCACCTTCGCCTGATGCACGTAGATGTGACAGCGGAAGAACGTATGCCCCACATTCGGCACCCAGCTATAGGGTGAGGGCGAGGTCCACTCGCCTGCAATACACGAAGCAAACTCGTGCCGTTCACTGTCGAGCACTATAGAAATGCAGCCAAGGACTAGGCCAGCATTGCAGCCACAATTGAAGCAGGTGTGAGGGCAACTGCTGCTTTTAAAGAGGAAGCTCTTCACCTTCCAGCAATGATTGCTTGCCTGGTTGACCTCTCTCTTTTGCAGATTCAGAAAGTGCTTGGCGTTTAGGTGGCAGACCCCAACCTGTTTGCCACCTGCGCTTAAGCTGAGCAATAACTCCGGCCAATCGTCCTGCACGTGCATCAAATTAGACAGCGAATTTATTTCCCCAATTAGACGATGCATCTCGTTTACTATGTCCACAATGGTGGAGTCCAAATTCGGTGAGTAGCTCGACTTCAGTCTCTGTCGCAATGCGCGCAATTCCTTGGGAGCCTTCCTGAAGTAGGTGAGCACGTACTGTTGCCTGTTCAAGTCCCAGGTGGTGCACTGCTCACCCATATCATAGTCAAAGCGATGCAAATCGAGGCTCTCTTCGATCTTGTAAAGGATGCTGTTGATAATGTACTTGAGGCATCTGGTCTGTTGTTGCAAGCTGTTGGGAAACTTGAGCTGAAAGACCTTAAAGGTGGCCAGCTCGGAGCGCTGGGTAGGAGAGGCTGAAGACATCTGGCTAACATTTATAGCAAAGCTCTTACCATATAGTTGGATATATCAATCATAAAGAAATCAGCTTCAAATTTGATGCGATTATCGGGCAGGTTGATACGGAACATACAAGACTGAAATGGCGATTCTTGGCGAAATGATTTCGTTTGCATTTGCGAACGAAATTTGCCCGCTGGCGTCTTCAGAGAGCCCTCCAGCTCATTCGACACAAACTCTGCTAGGTTAACTACAAATTTATACTGATGCGCACTGCTGGGTATATGGTCTCCGAGAATGGGCAGGAATTCCACAACGAAAGGCTGGTCTGACCAGTGGGCTGGACCAGGCACCGTTTGTGTAGTCACAACATGCGAGGGATGTCCTTCCGACAGATTTTCAGAACGCAGCTCCATCAAAAGACGACCCACATAGTTCGTAGGAATAATGGGATCATACAGATGCAGATACGTTGGCCCAAAAGAGGGCTTATCTGCCGTAAATGAAGTGAATAGAGGCTAGATTGAATTATTTGGAGTCCGTGAGTAAGCTCAGAGCATACCTTCAAAGGCAATTTCATCAAAAATCATCTCATATTCGGCTATACATTTCCATTGCATATGCTCCTGCATCATAATCAAGATAAGAAATCGTTGGGCCAAAGAGGGGTAGACCCAAGCAAAGCTTATCTCCTGATTCCACACGGGTGTCGCTGTGTTCTTCTCCACATTCGTTTTACCCTTGAAAGGATGGAATCTGTACTTTAAAAAAACGAAAGCTTAAGTCGATGCATTAATGCAGATACTTTGAAGCCAGCAAACGATACTTGTATCATGTAGTTATTCCGCTTCGTGAAGATGCCTCGATAGAAGCGGATGAAGTAACGAATATTACTCAATGTATCTGAGTCGACGTCCTCTAAGAGATTGCTATAGGAATTTATTTAGCAGGTAATTAAGAGCTTTGCATCTCTCTAACCTCTTAATGTCGTCAAAGTCATGATGAGTTGGCCACTTGATCGATTGATCATGTTCGTCCGTAGTTGGAATCGTCTTCAAAGCGCTGTGCTGCGAGACGATGGCCAAGTCGATTTGGAGATAGCCACATGATTCGCGCTCTCTCTCCTTGGAGGGTTGCTCCCCAAGGGGCACCTCGAGTCGCCCCCATCGCTTGAAGTAGCTGTGATTCGGCTGGTTCCATACGCTATGCAAATCAATCATCAACTCACCCATATTTGCATTCTTCTTGTACATCAAATACCTTTTCAGCTCAAAGAGTACAGTCAGTCGCAAAAGCTTTGCGAGCGTACAGTGGAACTCGAATACAAAATACTAAAAGAAATATAAATTAATTCTATATAGTTTTATCTGCTGCTTACCTCATTAAAGAATGGATTTTCGGTGTTCGTTTGGGTTTTTGTATTTTTGGTCATTTTATCTAAACATATTTTCACGTAAAGCTCTCCATTGGGCAAGCCCGTCTCTGCAGCTTTATGCACTGTGATACATATGAGAAAATCCTGGGGTGCACCCGCAAAGCAATTATCCACATGAGTCATTATTTATTTTATTTTTATTTGTTTATTTAATTATTTATTTATTTATTTATTTTTTTTTTGATTAAATGTTCCAAGTTGAGTTGTTTAACAATTTGCTAAAAGCTCTTACAATTTTCAAATTAAAAATAATAACTGCCATAGCCAACAGTCTGGCAACGCTGTTGTCTGTTCAATCCACCACAAGCAATACTTAAAAGCTCTTTGTTCAGAGCTGTCAATTCACCTCGAAAGCTCGTCGTTGCATATTGTGAACGCGCTTATTATTGTTTGCTGCTTAGAAGCTTTCAGCTGGCCCAACCTGCTATTTTTATGCATGTGGCCGTGCAGACGGCCAGTGGCGTGGCAAAAAGGGCTTTTGTTATGTTTCAGTAATAAGAAGTAAATAGTGGACAATTTCAGAAGGAACTATAAATGTAACTTGCAATAAAATGTTTTAAAATAAATGTACATATATTTGACTATACCTAACTCCCATTATAGTATTTACTTGACCTCAACATTTTCTTTATAACCCCTTTTAAAAATTTGTTGTATGCGCCCGTGTCTTTAGCTCTTTGAGCTTGTGCTTTTGAGCTCCAGCTCTCCAGCTCTGATGTTGGGCACTTCAGTTTCAGTTCGCGTGCACGGGCCAAACAGTTGACATAGCATAGCGCTCACAGATTCGAATCGGGGCTATATTGAAAGCGAGCATCGCAGTTTGCAGCCGTCGGTCGTAGTTGTTGTCGTGGTCGGAATCGTTGTTGTTATTGTTGTCATCACAGTTGTCGTGGACGCTGCGTCTCTGTGTGAGTGTGTGTGTGCCTGGAATCGCTCAAGCGGGAGTTGGCTGTTACTTTGCTCTCAGCCTCCAGCATACGCTTCGTCCAAGCTTTCGGTGCGTCTCTTTTGGGTGCCTACACGCCTGCAATTTTGTGTGTGTGCTGCTGATTTTGTGTATAATTTTTTGCGCGCGCTCAATCAAAATAGATCCCAGCTAAAACATCCATAACTAAACTGAACTGAAACTATCAATGAAAATGAATTTTTAGTTCCTATAAATATTCTAAACAATAATTTAAACACTAATTTGATATCAATACGAAAAACTAAAGCAAAAAACTTAACAATAATTTGTTGGCTAAGGTTAAAAGAAATATATATACAATATTTTCAGCTGTCTACACAATGCTTGAGAATAAGAAAATATACATACATATATGTGTATAAAATGAACGCAAAATCATAAAAAATAAAATGCTCTAAATTTCCCACAATCATTGCAGCAAACACATCAACAGGACCTTCGACGCTTTACGCATCCTTTTTTTAAATATTCCATAAGCTCGCTAGCAAACGCGTGCTAAACACATTTCAGGTAAGCTTGACTTTTAGTATTTTTTATATATATATATTTGTGTATACGTGTGTGTGTGCATGCATAAATCAAAAGAGCAGAGCAAGCATAGCCAGAGAGCTTGCTGCTTCTGTGCTCAGCAGCTGACACCCAGCCACCCACTTTAATCGCCCACACCCAAACCAGCCACCCCAATGCCCAACCCGAGGCTCAGTGGTGGTTACGCACACGCTTTTGCGTCGTTGCCTTCTAGCTCTTCGCAGCTTGCCGATGCTGCTGCCTCCCCCTCTCGCCTATGCTGTGTATGCCCATCTCCTTTGACATCTTTCTCTGCCCCTCTCCTTTATTTACCGTTGCAACTTGTGCCACTTTTCAATTGTCATTTACGCGTCATTTCTTTGCGGTCTTCACAATCTTTTCTTCTGCTCTTCGTTTTTTACTTTGTGTCTTTTTTTTTTGGGTGCAGTGAAAGGCTCGCAAATACTTCCGTTGCCCATTTGCAGTTGTTGTTGTTACTCTGTTTTGTATTTCTTGCTTGCAATTTCTTATCGTTCTTTTCTTTTGCGCATTTGTAGCCATTCGCTTTTTGATCTTGAAACTCGTGCTCCGTCTCTCTCTCTCTCGCCCTAACCCTCTGCTGCTGCTACCGAACGAGTTTATCAAACAGGAAAAATCATTAAAGCAATTCAAATTGTTTATTGAAAAGCAACGGAAAGCGGGGGGAAGTAGAGAAAAAAACGAGAATCGACAAAATCGTTTTTTGTTATTATTTCGCTTTTGTGCTGATTTTTGCCAGATTTGTGGACTCGCTTTTTTTGCTCCATTTGCAATTAGCTAGTTAAACGGTTCTAAACAGAAGACGATTGCAAATTTGCATAGCAGTAATAATACCCTGTTGAGTGTAAGTCAAGCTTAATAAATATTTGACATTTTACTTTTCTCATAATTATAATCAGAGCTTTATTATAAATATTTAAGTAGTCCTTAGATTGTATCTGTGTTTTTAGAGAGTCTGTTAGTCACGCTTGCTATTCAGAGATATCAAAACCTGATTAATCTGTGGAATTAAAAGGCCTTTAAAATCAGATAGTAATTGATTAAGCGATCAAAACGTGCATTAAAAGCAGTTGCTCGAACAAAGCTGCCGATTAAAAAAATAAATAATTATTAGATAACACAGCTGTGCAATAAAAATACATATAAATAATTACTACGTGAAAGGAAGAGCAGTTCAGTCGCTGTAAAATGTTGCCAATCAAATAGACAAATGTGTGGCAAAGTTTTCGTTGGTAATTCAGTTACCAAACATCCGCAGAAAGACAACAAAAAGACTGTTGCAAGCCGCAAGAAGAACACATCAAGCATGAAGTCAGGGCTCAGGCTCAAAAGTGCAACATAATTCAATTAGTATAGAGAGTGAGAGAGAGCGAGACGGAGCTAGAGGGAATCGCATAAAAGCAGCCGCAACGAAGCGAAAGGAAGTCGCAATGGTCGCCAGAGGGCGCCACCTGAGTGCCTGATTGCATGCCTGCCAGCCTGCCAGCCTGCCAAGGGGCGGCACTTTAATTCGCCGTCAAAAAGTAGCCATAATATCAAGAAAAAATCTAAGAGCCAATTTGGCGACATTTTGCACTTTTGACCCACATAAAAGTTTGTTTTACGTTACGTTTATTTTATTTTAACGTAATTTGATAAGCTTCTTCGCTGAGTTTCAAAATTTGATATGAAATATACATACAAACAATGGCTGCTCAGCGCCAATAAAACTGACATGAAATATGCTACAACACGAACTCAAGGTGATCAACTCTGAGGTATCTGTAAAATGTATCTGCTCGAAATGTATCTGCAGTCAGGCAGCGCCTGGGTTACGGTCACGATGCGTGTTGCGCATTGCATATTTTATGGTAATTCGAACTTGTTGCCCTAACTCTTTGCGACTTTCACACCCAGGCCCAGGCCAGTTCAGCTAAGCTTAACACGCCACGCCCCAAGGCAATCGCCGCCGCCCACTGCCATTTCTCACAGCCAGCTAAAATTACAAAGTTTTCTTCAATTACAGCAGCCACAGCCGCAGTCAATTGTGATATGTTTGCCCCAAGTTCACTGCACTGGTCAGTAATTAAAAATCAAGCCCCTGTCTGCAGGAAGACCCACACACAACCAGCCATCAGTGTGTGTGTTTGTCGTTCTCACCAGCTCTTACCTAACTTCCCTTTCTTAATTGTGCACAAATCATGGGTCTACATTTCATTGTAACTACTGCGAATCCATTAGATCTCTTTTTCTATAGATATTTCTATTTCTTTAGAGCCAGTGCTGCCCATTTAGCGGAAATCGAATACGTTGCACTTAACTGCTGCAATTCTCTCTCTAGCTCCAGCTATGACCTTAGGGCTTAAGCCATTCGCTTAATCACTCTTATTGTCTCTCTCTCTATCTCTCTCCCACTCATTATCTTTGTGGCTTAGGAGTTGCCACAGCGCCGCATTCGATTAGATTAGCTTTAGTTTGTCATTGTTGCAACAGTTCCAAATCCCTAACTGACCAATCTCTAAACATTTCACTTGACAGCTCATTGTCTTCAAGCACAATCTTAATTCAATTAAGTCTTGTGAAAGTGTTGAACTAGCTTACTTCAACTTATGAGAATCGCATAGAAAGTCAGTCTTTTTAAGTGTTTACTAGACTAAATTCTTGTCAGTCTTTGGTATAAAATGCTTACAAAACGTACATGCCGACATACATACATATCTAGTCACATATGTATGCATGATGTATGCATACATTACTTTCATTTGGAAAGGGAACAAGGGAACTTAGTTTCATACATACGTTAGCTAAAATTCCAACATATATACACGCATACACACATGCATTCCAAAACACTTATGAACATACATACATATACATATACGTGCATATATTGCTTCTATCTTATTAAGTAACACGAATACCTACAGATGATCGTACATAGCATACATTCAGAGATCTTTATATATATATATATTTATATATATGTGTATATGGTACTAAAATATGTACTTAAGTGCATCCATGCATACATTATTTACATTACTTACATCTCATAAATTAGCTATAATAAATAATTTACTTTCTAGCTGCTGGGCTGAGCTATGTGTTGAGTGAGTCGATCTAAAGCAGGCAGCGCAAACCGCTTTATAAATTTAGATGCAAAAATAGATGGCTCAACTGCTATGCAGAACTATATTCTATGCAAGATTTCAACTTGATTAGACTTATATAACAAGCTAGACTAAAATCAAATTCAATTTCGAAAATGAAAGTTATTGAGGTAAGAAAAAATTACAATTTAGCTTACACAGAGAAATTAACTGAATAAATGGCTTAAGCTTAGGCTTAAATAGATTATAATCGAAGACAGCTTAAAGCCCTGTGCCCTGTGGTCAAACCAGAAAAGAGAAATAAGAGCTAGTTCAATTTTCTTTTCGGGTGGCATTTCGTAAGGTAACTGCGAAGCAGGTGTGTAACAGGTGCTGGCATCGTTTAGTGCCCCCTTTAATGCGCGCTGTCAAACGCTTGATTAATGAATCAAACTACTAAAGGCCTCCAAAAACAGGAAATGGCATAAAATATAAAAATATTTACTTTCGCATGAACATGAAAAAGCCAGACAATGAAATGGCTTTAAAAATTGACGATTGCGCAATTGAGTGTGCGTAACTGCAGCGTTTGTTATGACAGCTCTTCAGGTAGCACAGGTAACTGGCGACAGCAATCAGCTGAACGAAATTCGGAAAATATGTCTCAATTTGCTGGCTTAAACCCAAATAAACAGAAGTTATAAAATGTAATTGAAATCAAATTTTTGATAGACTTAAACATGGGCATAGATTACACAGTATTTTCTTTTACCTTTTTTGGTGTCTTTTTCTGGTTGTTTGTTTGTTTGTGTTGTTGCTTCTGTAAATGAAAACACAAAAAGTGAAAGTCCACATGGGCGACTGCAACAATGCATATTAATTTGGGTTTTATTTTTAATCATAGCCGAAAGACAACGAGTCAGACAAACGGACAGCTAAAGCTGGCCTAAAGCCCAAAAAACTGGTCACACTTAAGCCCTATTTTCAGTTGGCTGTTGTTGTTGCTGTTGCTGCTGCTAGCAATTGCGCATGTGTGGCGCAGTTAGCTCAGGTTTTTCCATAGTCAGCCGCATATTTGCAAGCTGATGCAATGTAGGCGCCCAGTGAACAGTGCCTGCAAAAAGTTGTTGCACTCACACACAGCAAGTGCATTCAACTTAGAAAACTTTATTTGTGCATTAAAAGAACTTTATAGCTGTCTATATTAGCTTATCTATATAGATCTAAAACTTAAAAAAGCAGGAAGTTTTAGCCAAGTTTGCTGCTTGAAAATCTCCCACATAAATTTGCAGCAGAAACTTTTGATGTGTGCATGTGTGTATGCGTGTGTCTTGCCAACGCCCGGCAATGCTTCATGCTGGTTGCAACAGCAGCAACTAGCTGCAACAGCAACTGGCTTTTTGATATGGTGCGTCGCACAGTGGAATGTTTCGCATACATTTCGTTGCAAACTCTTAAAACTCTGATGAAATTTGTATTCATTCAAATATTGATTTTTTGTCACGCTTTTTGCCCAAAAGGCTCCACAGTGCAATCCAACTCCCAACACTTACGTTCACAATTTTTCCAGCTGCATTTTCCAGGCGAGGCGAGTGTAAAATATTGCGAAATTTTCGGCTGCCAGAGCTAATTGGCTAACGAAATCGAGTGCGAGTAACAATTTCAAATACGCATTGACACATATCGCATAGCCGAAAAGGCCAGAAGGAAGCCAGTCAAAGGTTTTCCATTCGTGAAAGTTGCCGAGCCGCAAGATAAATAAGTTGAAAGCGCATTGAACTACGCCCCAAAAAGCTTAAAAGAAAGTTAAATAATAAGCGAATATTATCCAAAACGGCAACCAGAGGCCTAACCAATTGCCTGGCTGTCACAGCGAGTGTCGCTGGCGAATGTATC